AGCCATCATTGTTGTTTGGCGGGCCCGGGCTGGGGATTCGAACCCGCCACCTTAGGTGTATGTGGCTGGCGCCTTAGCCCCTTGAGCCACAGGCGTCGAGCCCCAACATACAATCTTAATAAAAAAGTTCTGCTAACTAGAAATAGAGGGAAACTTTCTCAGTTTAATACAGGACACTAACAAAAAAACTTATCACTAATATCATTCCTATTAGGTAGATACTGGAAGGTTTTTCTCTTAGGATTAAGAACAAGCCAAGAGGCTTGGTGCCTGTAGCACAGTGGTTACAGTGCCAGCCACATACATCAAGGCTGGCGGGTTTGAACCCGACCCAGGCCAGCTAAACAACAATGACATCTGCAACAAAAAATAGCCAGGCGTTGTGGCGGGTGGCTATGGTCCCAGCTACTTGGGAGGCTGAGGCAAGAGAATAGCTTATGCCCAAGAGCTGGAGGTTGCTGTGAGTTATGACACCACAGCACTCTACTGAGGGCAACAGTGAGACTCTGTCTCAAAAAAAAAAATTGTAGCAGGCAGGTCTAGAAACTGATACAGCTACTTCTAAAATTTATATGAAAATGCAAAGTAACTAGATTAGCTAAAACACAATTTTGAAAAAGAAGAATAAAGCCAGGGGATTTGTACTACCTGATTTTAAAACTTATTACAGAATGAGGATAATCAAGACATTATAGCATTAGTATATAAAAAAGGAACTCCACAGAGTGTAGAAATAAACCTATTTCTACATGCCAATTGATTTTTGACACAGCTATCCAATCAATCCAATGGAGAAAGAATACTCTTTCTAACAAATTATATTAGAACTAATAGATGCCACATATGAGGGGGAAAAAAATCCACCTCAATCTTTACCATATACAAAAATTCACTTGAAATGAAACATAAACGTAAGAGTAAGAGATTAGGCTCGGCGCCTATAGCTCAACCGGCTAAGGCGCCAGCCACGTACACCTAAGGTGGCGGGTTCGAATCCCCAGCCCGGACCCGCCAAACAA